AGCCTGTACCTTTTCATTAGACATCAAGCTTCTCTACCAATACCACAGTCTGCCAAAAAAAAGTGAAGCTTAATTCTTTCTCTATACAAACCCTGCCTCACACAGATCAGGAAAAAAAGTAAATAAACTGCCATAGCCAGTGTGAACAGTTTGTTTGGTATGATTTTCTAATAAGGTAACAAGGCTGCTGTCAACTAGAAGCCCTGCAGGAAAAGGAGGATTATTAAATAGAAACAAGAAAAAGATCAAAAAGTTCAAGACATTTTATTCATCAACACCCACTGAAGAGAAACTTAGCTCCTGCCTAGGTCTAAAGAAACAGAGAAACTTCCACACTCCACATATCACTTACCTCTCAGCACTCCCTTTTTGTTGTATTTCTTTGAGCCTGTCCACAAACTCGGCAAATTTCATTTCTTCCCTACTTGACTTGGGTTTGAAGTTCTTAAAATTGGCCATTTTCTTCTCATCATAGTACAAAAACTTGTGTGTGCTGGCACTATACACTGAGAAGTCCCCATTGCCAAAGTTTTCCTGGAGGTAGTCCAGGTCCCATTTCAGAGCAGGATAAACCAGATTCGTATCTGTCAGCACCACTGGCTCCTGGAGAGAAATAGGAAGTTTATTGATTCAAAGACCTCTTGAACTTAAGACCAAGCACATTCATTACTGCACCCACAAAAACTCCCTTTCAATTGAGGAATTGGAAAAGGCATTTGAAGTAATCACATACCTTGTTCTGGGAAGAAAACCAAGCAAGACAGGATAGGTTTTAAGAAAGTGGTGGCCTGGGGTTACAGTAAGCTCCTGGTAGCAATGGGACAGATTGCACTACCTACTTAGCCAATCTCTACTAGCGAGGTTAGACAAACACTAGCTGGCAACACTTCTGGGCCTGCTTGGTCCTGCCACGTAGCCAGGAGACACAGTAAATTCCAGCTGGTCACTTCCAGCCTCAAATGCCTCTGCTGGCATTTACCCCTGTGAAGGGGTAAATGCCAGCAGAAAGATCCCTCTGAATCCAGAAACAGAACTCATCTCTTTTCTCAGAGGACTGCAAATAACCAGCCATCAAAAAACTGACCATCTCTTCTACAGCAAAAAAAGAACCATTACAAAAGGAAGACAGAGGACAGCGCCTATCTCCTCGTCTACCAGTAGTAAGCAACCTAACCAAGGCAGCGCTGTGTTCCCAAGCTGTGCATACACAACTTCCCTTCTGGCAGACTTTCCTTAAAAAACCCAACTACCAAACTTACCAAAATGAGGCTGAGCTGGTACAGAACCAATGCAAGAGCCACCACTGCAAAGGAACCTTTACATCTGTGGTCGCTCGTACTTAGAAAACAACCAATACGTCCCAGGGTTTTACACAACGTTCGCACAACTTCCATCCCGACAACAAAGGGATTAAAACAAACGTTTCCCGCGAATTTCACAGTTCAGCACTGTAGCACCGAAGAAAAATGTCCATTACGGCAGAGAGGAACGGGACAGCAGCTACAACGGAGCCCGCACGGTGCCCCGGACGGACAGGGCCGGGATGAGGAGGTGACTGAGCCCGGGACCTCCCTCACCTCGTTCTCGATGAGCTCCTCGGCGCGGGGGTCGCTGTGGCTGAGCCGCGGGATGGGCCGCGTCTCGAAGGAGTAACGGCGGAACTGGGAGTCGCTCCAACCGGGCCCTGCCGCCACCGCCGGGCCCTCCCGGCAGCCCGCCGCCGCCGAGGAGGAGCAGGAGGAAGAAGAGGAAGATGAGGAAGATGAGGAGGAGGAGGAGGAGGACGAGGCCGCCGCCATCGCCGCCTCCACCGGAGAACCCGTACCAAGGAAGGCGGAAGCGGAAGCTGCGCACCCATGGCAACGCCGGAAGCGGAGGGCGAAGGCGGAG